ATATGGTTTAAACTTACAATAATATAACTAGTTATGATTCTGATTTCTAATAAATGATTTATGAACAAATAATACAGTTTAGTGTAAACAACTATATTTTGTCGTAGCTATGATGGAAAGCATTTGCGATAGAGCTGAGGAATTGAAGAGGATCTTCAGGCATTTTTTGCTGCCTTGCAGCCCCCTGATTAGATAACTGAAATCAGCAAAACCTTGATACTGTAGTGGTGGAGAAGACCGGAACCAAGAAGCCCCTGGATGAATGATTCAAGTGCTATCCCTGTGCCAAAAAGGTCATCAAATTTGAATTCAGCGTGCTCCAAAATTTTGACGTTATTGCTATCGCTTCGCCTTATTGTGGAATCAAACATAAGTTTAATTCATATATCACTAGCTGCTGGAAGCTCCAATTCTTGGCTATAACAAAGCCCACTTGAATTAGATCCCCGTTGTCGACACAAGACGCATGTCGGAATATCCCACTTCCGAAGACTGTAGCTCAGTCCATTGGCGCCATGGGCCATCTTGAACACAGAACTTTGCATCCATGCCAATCAAAAGATTTTCCGGGCTAGTCATTAGCATCTGGATATCAATCATGGTTTTGTCGAAGTTGTGCCCCCACACAGAGACAAATTTGAGGGGGAGCTGCTTTCACTAATGGCAGTGGCGGTGGTCAAAGAACCTGCTAAACAGCAACAATAGTCAAGATTCGTACAATCAAGAACTCTGAAACTTAATCAAAAACCCAAAGAAACTCATGGTCTATTCCTCGCCGAATGCATAGTTCTTGGACCGCCGCCATGATCAGAACAAGACAGAGAAGGAGAGCAATGCAATTGGCTGAACTTTGACATACCTGAAGATTTCGATGCCGAAGACAGGTTGATCATGTCAATGGGGGTCTTGCTCTGGATGTCAGCCGTCCGGTGAGCGGGATCAATGGCGGCGACGGTGTTTAAGGAACCTGCAAAACAACAACGACAGTAAAGATGCATGCACAGTAATCAATCAAGAAATCCAAAATTTGATCAAAAACTGAAAGAAGCACGCTTGGTCCTAAAGATTCACAGTCTGCTGCTCACCAAATTCATACTTCTTCTACTGCTGCCAAGATCAAAACAAAACAGAGAAGGAGAGAAAAGCAATTGGCTGAACTTTGACATACCTGAAAATTTCAGCGCCGAAGACAGCTTCATCATGTCGACGGGGATCTTGCTCTGGATGTCGGTCGTCTAGTCAGCAGGATCCATGTCGGCAGCGGGGGTCAAAGAACCTGCTAAAATGATGGAAGTAAAGATTCAAGCCCAAAAATTAATTAGGAAGTATGAAAGTTGATCAATAACCCCCAAAGAAACACACCTTGGTTCTCATTGTCACCGGGGGCAGAAACAACATCCGTCCGGTGAGCAGGAGCTTCAACATGTCGAATTTCAGGGTTATATGTGTGTGCCTGCTACACTATCGTAACGACGACATCGAAGTTGTGCAAGCATGTGTCTTCTCAGCAAAAAATAACAGCTGGGTCTCCTTGAGCCCGAAGGAGATTCGTGACATCATTCCTGGACTCAATGTTGTCAAATACATGTTCAACCATATTGAAGTTATTAGTTAGTCCATTGTACCCACTTCATGCCCCTTGTTTCTACTTGTCCTTTCATGTGCTAGTGTTTGTTCTTCCTTCCCCCCTTGTTTGTTAGTGTTTTTCCCTTAGTAGATTTTCCTATTTTGTCACATATTTTTAATAGAAAGATAAAGAAGATGATCACATTTATTTTTGCCACTGAGGAATACATGCTACTTGTGTCTGGCTAAAAAGAGTAAATTGCAAAAAACCACCACATTTTAAGTTTACTTTTGGATTTGCCACCACATTTCTTGGGTGCCCCCAAAATCTACCAGTTTTCTTACTAATTTTCTCAATAAACAGTTATGACTAATTTATGACAAATTAATCCAATTTCTGACATGTTGGGCCCGCTGATCAGGTCCACATGGCACTAAAAGTCAACATAAACGGAGTTGACTGTTAAGTTAAAAGAAGGGGCTAAAATGTACTATGTGAAGAGAGATAGTACTTAGTACTTAATATTACTTAGTACTATGTAAACATGTTGAAGTTATTAGTCAGGACATTTTGGCAATAAATTGAACTGCTAAAATGTACTATGTTAATGAACAGAGACATTACTTAGTACTTAATATTAATCTGAATATTTATGGTTCATACAACTTAATATATTCAAAATATAATGCAAATAATTTCTCTAGCAACACGAGAAAGTATCATGCACTCTGACACAAGAGTGTTAAACCCCTATCTAACAATCAATAATTTTGTAGGCGATCATACTCCGTCCATTCCAATGAATAAAGGGTGCACGCATCTTAAAATTCAACTTTGATCATAAGCTAGAAGGGTTGGATGTGCTTTGCTGCACCATTGGTATTGTTGGGTTTCTTAAAAAAAATTACTCACTCTGTTTCAAAATATAAGGTATATTACTTTTTTGAAATGTCAAACCTTTTAGTTTGATCAAATTTGTAGAGAAATATATAAAAATCCATAATATCAAATCGGTATGATTAGATTCATCACGAAATAAATTTTCATACTTTTTTGTTTAATATTGTGGATATCAATATTTTTTGATGTGAACTTTCTCAAAGTTAAAGAAATTCGACTTTCCAAAAATCTAACACCCCTTATATTTTTGAATTGATGAAATATTTAGTTTGGCCAGTGGAGTAGATGATGGAGTGTTTATATTTTTCTATTTATAATGCGGTGATTTGATGGGCCTTTCTTGGTATGGTTTGGTGTTATCTGCTAACCAACGTATATTTATGTGGAAAAACTTTTATGTTGGCGGATGCATGTACTATATTGGTGCTACAGTATCACGTGGTGGTGCTTATTTTTTTCTAGAAGTTTGGAGGGTACGCGCAAACGGTGTGCTTTTATAGGCGGTTGCTTCTGATTGATTTAAAAATCATTGGCCCGGTCAAATCATATACCAAATCCAAAATCAAGTACCTCAATTGCATGAAAGGGCTTTCAAATTAGGGAACATGGGGAATTAAAAGAATTAAAAGGAAGAGCTCATTCAGAAATTATTGACCCGATCAAAATTGGGTGACCCAATTCTAAATTGAATACCTTAATTAATTATGAGACCTTAAAAATTGGGAAGAATAGTGTATAGTATAAAAAATTCGAATGAGTGAGCTTTGAGATATTATTGACCTAGCCAAGTTAATCCACATCATGCCGACATCACCAACCGGTCTCGCAGACCCCCAGCGCGCACCGCATACGCACACTCTAGAATCCGACGCCACCATTTTTCGCCGTCCCATCTTCAGAAGGGATCAACACATTGACTTTGCCAGGCTCATCTTCCATCAATGCCACTATGACTCTAGACAACGTCACCGCCCTATGCTCATCCATGAAGACGCAACCGTCATCGAGAATCTACGACACCGTGCCGCTGAAATCCATCGTCGTTGATGCGGTAGATGCCATGCTGCTCCGCCTCCTGGCGACTTCAGCAAACCTCTGCTGCAAAACGATGCCCTCAAGAGGGATAACGACACCGAAAACGTCATCATTGTCCGATCTATGAGACCCAGATCAAGGGTTTCCCCTCGTAACAACCCTAGTTAGCGAGGAGATGATTAGTACAATGAAGATGCCTTCAAAAAGGTAAAGGCGCACAGACACAGCCATCACCTGTCACGACCAAAGTCAGACTCATTTTCACAGGCACTTCTCCCCAACTCGCAACCGACTGGATTGCCACCAAGTCATGTAGATTGGCTCCGTGCAAACATCATGTTGGGCCCACTGATCAGGTCCACATGGCACTAAAAGTCAACATAAACATAGTTGACTGTTAAGTTAAAAGAAGGGGCCACATGTGGGAGGAGGTGGACGAGATTTGTGGAATGAGCCCTGACATGTGGCCCCTTCTTTTAACTTAACAGTAAACTCCGTTTATGTTGACTTTTAGTGCCATGTGGACCTGACCAGCCGGCCCAACATGTCAGAAATTGGATTAATTTGTCACAAATCGATCATAATTGTTTATCGAGAAAATTAGTAAGAAAACTAGTAGATTTTTGGGGCATCCAGAAATGTGGTGGAAAATCCGGAAGTGAATTTAAAATGTGGTGGCCTTTTGCAATTCACTCGGCTAAAGAATTTTAGCTGTGTTTCATAGCTGCATTTCCTTTCTTTTTGCTTAATATAGCAGTTGTTGCTGGCCAGTTATAATATGGGAAAAACATATTGATAAATATTTTTCTGACAATTTATATGAGTGAGCTCTAATATTTTCCTAGACATTTTATGTAGATGATAAATGTTTCCTTACATACTGATATAAATTGTCTCTAATATGACAGATGTTGTGTAGCCTTACTCCATTTTCTTCTCTTTTTGAACTCCATTGTTTTTGCTCCTTGGTTCCTCAAAGTTTGGAGTGTCCTTAGTTGCTTTCTCTGGCTCTTCAAGCTCGGCGCGGCGCGTGTAACCACGCTTCTTGCCCTTATAAAAGAATCGAATGAGAGAGCTTTAAGAAATTATTGACCCGGTCAAAATCGGGTGACCAAATTCTAATTGAAGAATGTGGGCTCTTTAAAATTAAGAAGCATAGTGTTATGGATAATTAGACCAACCAAGTGTGGGTTATATTGTATATAGCATTTATAGTTGAATTCATGTTGAAAAGAAGTTTTAAATGGTAGTATAGTTTTGAAGTACAAAACTGAAAGTTGAATTTTGAGTATTCGCTGAAACGGAGGAGGCAGATGTGCTTTTGCAAAACCGTAAAGGAAACAAAAAGAATGGCGTATAGCGTTGTGGCTGTTGCAAGTCAACTCTCTCTCGGCTCATCTCTCGGGCGTTCCCCTCTCCCCCTCACTCCACTTCCCCAACCGCCACCATCCATAATCCTCACCTTCCCCTCCAATTTCGGCGGCGCAAATATCTTGCAATGGCGGGGGTCAGCGCGGGGACGGGGGCGATGAGCTCCCTCCTCGGCAAGCTCTCCGCCTTGCTCACCCACGAGTACAAGCTTCTCAAGGGCGTCCGCAAGGAGATCCAGTTCCTGGAGCGCGAGCTTGGCAGGATGCGAGCCTACCTGGACATACTGGCGGACATGGACAAGCTCGACGACCTGGCCAAGAAGCGGAGAGACAGCCTGCGCGACCTCAGCTACGAGATGGAGGACTGCATCGACCGTTTCATGGACCGGCTTGGCACCGGCGACGCCAGGCGAGGGTTCATGAGGACGACCGCGCGCCGGCTCAGGACGATTTGGGCGCGCCATGACATCGCGACCCTCATCAGAGACCTCAAAGCTCGGGTCTTGCAGGAGACCGAGCTGCATGACAGGTACAGTGCAATCTTTCGTTATCTCTGCAAGACGTTCAGACCAATAAGTTCTTTTTTCTGTGTGTGTGGAAAATGATGAGGTTTATTACAGTGCAACGAGGCCAGTTGAAATAGATCCCCGGATGACCGCGCTCCACGAGGAGGTCAAGGGCTTGGTGGCCATGGACGCCCCAGCGAAGCACATTTCTGCATTGCTGATGGATCAGAGCATGGAGCTGAAAGTGGTACCGATTGTCGGGCCTGGAGGGTTGGGGAAGTCGACCCTTGCAATGGAGGTCTATCGCAAGATTGGGAGACACTTCCGTTGCCGAGCTTCCGTATCAGTGTCGCGCGCTCTTGATCTGGACAAGTTCCTCAAGGATATCTTGTCTCAAATTGATGAGTCTAGAGAATGTCAGCCACAGGGTTCAGACATACAACTACTTATCCGTAAAACCACACAAATCTTGACCGGAAAGAGGTACTCGTACATTGTTTTTTTTTTCATACTTAACAGTTAACATTAATTATTTCTTATGCTTAGGCCGGAAAGAATCGATTTATTTGAATGTCTAGCTTTATTATTTCCTATACTTAGACTGCGAAAATTTAATTTATTTTAAATGGCTAGCTTTGACCGGGGAATATGGAGTATGTTTAACCTTAACTATTTCCAATAGTTTGATTGGTGCCAAAAGAAATTACTGAAACATTAAGTAGGAAACACTTGCGTATTTGGTTGGATATATAAAAATATTTGCTGGTGCAAGTAATCGCAGGAAAATGCTTAACAATGCACAATATTCAATGTAGGTACTTCATTGTTATTGATGACATATGGAAAGAACACGATTGGAAATTGGTCAAGGCAGCATTTCCCGAGAATAATAACGGCAGCAGAATAATTGCTACTACACGCATCACTGGTGTAGCTAATTTGTGCTGTTCCAGATCCGGTGGTCTACCCTACCAAATGGAACCTCTAGATGATGTTGGTTCTCGAAGATTGTTCTTTAAGAGAATTTTCAGCTCAGATGATCCCTGTCCCGCAGAACTGGAAGAAGTTTCTACTAGGATCTTAAAAAAATGCGGTGGTGTGCCATTGGCTATAATTACATTTGCAAGTTTGCTTGCCAATAAGACACATAACAACGGTGAATGGGAGAGACTGCAAGATACCATTGGTACTGGTTCTTCGCTTGATAACAATGAGACCTTCAAAGGGATGAGACAAATATTGTTACTTAGTTATTTGGATCTTCCGCGCCACCTGAAGACTTGTTTATTGTACTTGTGTATATATCCAGAGGACTATGAAATTGAATGTGAAGAATTGAAATGGAAATGGATGGCCGAAGGATTCATTGCTACACAATGGGGACGTTTGGATCAAGTAGCGGAGAATTGTTTCAATGAACTTGTTAATAGGAATATGATTCAGCCAGTTGATGTTGGGTATGATGGTTCCGTGAAACGTTGTCGGGTCCATGATATGGTGCTTGATCTCGTCATATCTTTATCTGATGAAGAGAACTTTGCTACCGTTTTAAATGGACGTATTTGCAATTCATTTTCAAGCAAGATTCGTCGTCTGTCAATGCAATCTAGTGCCAAAGAGCAGGATGAGGCGGTCCGTGCAATCACAGAAACCAAGTTACATGTTCGCTCACTGTCTATGTTTGGGCAAGTTAAGCAGATATGCCACCTCGTGGACTTTCATGCTTTGCGGGTGTTAGATCTCGTAGGATGTGAATGGTTGGAAAACAAGCATGTAAAAAATATAGGAAGTTCATGTCAGCTTAGGTATTTGCGACTTAGCAGTTTTAAAATTACAGAGCTTCCTGGGGAAATCGGAAAGCTGCAGCACTTAGAGACTCTTGATGTGAGAGGATGTTATTATCTTCCAAGACTGCCGTCAACTGTGGTGCAGTTGCAAAAATTGGTGCGCCTACTTGTCAGCCGTCGAACAGAGTTGCCTGCAAGTGAGTTTGGGAGTATGCAAGCCTTGGAGGAGTTGGAGAAGTTAAATATCTGGAACAGTGACAACCCACTGAGATTTGCAGAAGAGCTTGGGCATCTAACAAAATTGAGAAGAGTGGATATACATCTCAATCTCAATCTCAATGAAAAACTTATCATGGATTATGCAACAAGAGAAAGATTGGTGGAACTTTTGGTGTCATCTTTAAGTGAGTTGGGCAAATGCAACCTTCGATATCTTAGCATTGGTGGAGACCTGTGCAATCGTCTATTCTGGGACCCATGCTGCACCTATCCATACCTCCACGATCTTACAATTGGGCCAGCTATTAAAACAGTTACCAAGGGAATGGCCTCCCTCAAAAATCTTGTGAAACTATGCATAGCGGTCGAGGAATTTGATAAGGAGGGTCTCCATCTCCTTATGGGCATGCCTTTTCTAGCCCATCTTGAGCTAGCGATACGAATATCGATCAAAGAGAAGCTGAACATCGGTACTAATGGATTCAAGCTACTAAAGGTGTTCCACTTCACATACATGACAGACAGGTGGTATTCCAAAGTGGAGGCAATAGATAGACTGCAGCTAACATTCGCAACAGGTGCCATGCCAGCACTCCGACAGTTTCATCTTGAACTGAACCCAATGGAGGTGACATCCAATTTTTTTGCAGACTTGGGTATCGAGCATTTTTCAGGCCTTGCACACTTCCAGGTCGAAATTGATTGTAACGGAGCAGCTCCAGGCTGGGTGGAGGCTCTAGAGTCTTCCATTGAAAAAGCAACTGACTTGCACCCTAACAACGAAATGGAAATCCATCTCAGCAGACTCCATGAAGATGGCATGTTTAAGGATGACAAGGAGTGGGAAGAGGCTGCTGCAAAAGAAAGAAAGAAAGAAAGAAATGAAGAGGAAGGAAGAACTTCGTGAGGAACTTGCAAAAATCAGGGACGACGAAAGGAGACAGGCAGAATGAGTGAATGGCCACCAAAAAGTAGCTGCCTTATACTGGTAATTTAATTGATGTGGTTTTACTTGCTCCCACAAGAAAGAATTATCTAATGTATGTCCTTGAAACAATAAGAAGGCATTGTATATACATTTTTTGCTGAACCTGTATTCATCTCAAATAACAGTACAAACATCATGCAACTACTGTAGTAACATCATCCAATTCTGGACTTCTCTGTGACAAGTATGCTGCTGAAACCCGCACAGGGTGCAGCTGCTACAGAATCTAATTGGCTTATTTGCGAGCTTCTTGTGCCATATGGTGGCAGCTCAAGTATTGTTTTGAGGGGTGCCTTTTCTAATGGGATTTGGTGCGACTGTTGATTAGAAGTTGCTCCCTCTGTCCCATAATATAAGATACTATTACAACCAATATACTCACATATTGGTTGTAGTAACGTAATTACTTATCGGTTATAATAGTATCTTATATTATGGGACGGAGGGAGTACTATATATTTCGCCACTTGGATTGGCCATGTTCTGATGCCCAAAAAATAATTGAGTACATGTCAAGAATATGTGTCCTGGTTTGCCCACATGAATATCTAATATTCTACAATTTGCTGATATATTAACTGAATGCGAAGTACCAGTCTTGGGCATTGATTTAGATTCTTTCTAAAAATTTACCTTCGTTGGATCTGACCAGAATGATGTTTCAGAATTTACCTTTGTAGGCATAGAGGCTCATGGTTAATAATTTATGAAATTGTTCGTTGTGTTTCGTATTAGTTTCACATGCATGGACTTTATGCAAAAAATATGGTACGTCTACCACTGCTTCCTTTATGCGTGCGATTCACATATGTATTTTTCATGATTATTGTTAGGCAGGCTCAGATTTGGTGATGTTGCTGGAGGAGGCATAATGAATTGGTGCTTCTTAAGAGGGGCATCATCATCATGTCATTTGCACCAAGGGATTCACATGAGGCGAGCAGAACATCAGCGGCCATGGTTTACTTTATTCACTCCAGCCACCAGCTGAATCTGCTCCTGCGGCACAGCGTTGTGCGGAAAACAAGGCGAAGCACATGGTGGTGGTGGAATGCTGCACGAACAGCGAGGCGGAGCTCATCGACGGCTTGGAAGGAGGCAAATGAAACTTAACCCGCCTAAAAATCCGGTACTTGGTGGATTAGTTGGGGGAGCGCTATTGGGGTACATTTTGAGATGCTTTTGGCTAATACTTCCTCCGTTCCATAATTCTTGTCGTGGTTTAGTACTATTTTCATCTTCTTGGTTTGTAAGTCACGAATTTTTCATAGGTCTATTCCCGCTGGTCAGATACATGTTCAATCATGTTGTAGTTATTAGTTAGTCCATTGTACCCACCTCATGCCCCTTCCCTGTTTCCACGTATTCTTTCATGTGCAGGTGTTGTTCTTCCTTTTCCCCCTTTTCTGGGAGTGTTTTCCCTTCGTAGTTTTCCCTATTTCGTCGCATATTTGTTTTAATAGAAAGATAAAGAAGATGGTTACGGTTAAGTTTGCAAGTGAGGAATACAGCCTAATGGTGTCTGTCTAACGAATTTCAGTTATGTTACATAACTTCATTTCTTTCTTTTTGCTTAAGATAGCAGCTGTTGCTGGCCAGTTATAATATGGACAGAACATGTTGATATATATTTTGCTGTCAAATTTATATGAGTGAGCTCTAATATTTCCTAGACATTCTACGTAGACGATAAATCTTTCCTTACATACTGATATAAATTGTCTCTAATATGACAGATGTTGTGTAGCCTTACTCCATTTTCTTCTCTTTTTGAACTCAATCGATTGTTTTTGCTCCTTGGTTTCTCAAAGTTTGGAGTGTCCTTAGTCGCTTTCTCTGGCTCTTGAAGCTCGGCGCTTGTAACCACGCTTCTTGCCCTTCTCGTCAGAATCAAGTTTAGACTCAGATTCCGATACCGTGGAGGAGGATGAAAACGGTGCTGTCCCTTTGGTGCCTTCTTTTCTTCTGCTTCGCCTTGCATCGATGCTTCCTATCCTCCAAGTCCAACGAACTCTCGCTTGAACTGCCGCTTTCAGAAGAATACTCAGAGCCACTCGTCGATGATTCGGACTCGGAGTCGGTGTCTGACACCGAAGCACGATGTTTCCTGTTACTTTTTACCTTGTTTCTCTCAGATTCGATTTCTCCTTCTTCTGCTTTGCACCCGTCAGCTTCGTTTCCTCCTCCATCTCCTTCTCAAGATGAGGGTTCACGAACCGAGAGCAAGCCGGCAGCGAAACTTTCTTCTTCAACCTGGGGTGCTTAAGCTGCTCAGTCCTCGAGGGTCGCGAGATGTAGACCCGTTCATTCTTGCACTCATACGTCCAGTGCCCGGGCTGGAAGCACCCCTCTGACATTGGCCACTAGCGGAAGAAGTTGGTGCGGCATTTCGCCTCACAGGCTGCTCCGTGCTCATAAGATATATCTTTTTGTTGCAACTACTCCCTCCGTCCCATAATATAAGAACGTTCTTGACACTAGTGTGATGTTATAAACGTTTTTATATTGTGGGACAGAGGGAGTAATTAAGTAAGCGGTATTCCACTTGGTAATGAAGATTACATGCTGTCGAGCCGTTAAAGATGCCATTTTGTTAAACTAAAGGAACATAGTGTAGTGTGGCAACTCAAAAGTATTCAGTAGTCAGCACATTCAGAACTATATACTATACCAAAAGCTCCTTTCCCGTTTCTGCACCAATGTCATTTGAGTTGGTGCAGAAACAACCCCATTGCATTGCACGACACAAAAAACAAAGGGGACAAACAAATGACAGACTATTTGCATATCCCTTAAACGACTATTTGCTGCACAATACTTACAAAACAACAAAGCCGACGACTGAAAACAAGGACTTGTACATATAGTATACGCAAGGGAATAAGTCAGTAATTAACTACTCCCTCTATTTACTTATACAAGGCCACTATGAAATATACGTTCTGCATCTATATAAGGCCACCAACAGTAATCGAGAGAAGATTTAATGATATTTCCTCGTACTAGCAACCTGTTTAATACTTGCATCCATGCCGTCATAATGGCACTAGCTACTTCCTCCACTCGGTTTCCTTGCATGCATGTGACATATTAATGATCCCAATAAATGAAATGAAAAGTTTGATTGCAAAGTATGCATTAAATTTTATCTTGATACCTGTAATATGAGTTTGTGGCCTTGTATATAAAAATGGAGGGAGTAGTAAGTTGGTGTTCACATATGTAGGTTAAAATTGGACCTATGGAGATTTTGGGGCAACTTATCAATCAACCAGGCTAAATACAAGTCAATTGACTAAGTCCTGTGACCCCAATCCTGGTCCTGGTGCCGACCTAGATGGTCTGTACTGTGCCGGTACGCCTAAAATTCGTGGAGTTGCGTTTCTGACGATTTGGCCAGACACCGTTAAGTTATAAAGCTTTGCTTTGCCCTAAAAAAAAGTTTTGTGGAGTTGCGCGGGGTCTGACTCTAACTAATCTGAATGCCAGGATACCCGTACCTGAAAAACAGACGGCCAGCTTGCCGACGGAGTGGATACAGGAGCAGGGAGCGCGATCAGGCGAATCGGGGACGTCGATGGCGCGGTGGCCACGAGCGTCAATAGTGAGGGGACGGCAAGGCGGTATCGAGACGGAGGCTAATAGGAATCGCCTACGGGCGAGCGAATCGGGCTGGCCCATTAGGGGGAAGTCGCTCCCGAGCGCTCACGTGTTGTTTATAGGTTGCTCGCTGTGCTTCGGTTTTCTTCCCTTTTTTTTTTCTCATTTTCTTTTATTTTTTCTTTTGTTGTTTTCTTCGGTTTTCTTTTGTTTGATCGGGCTTTAAACATTTTTTAACATTTTTTCAAATACATGATATATCTGTTTTCTTTTGAACAATTTTTTTGGAGTAAACAGCAACATGATTTTCAAAATACACGTTTTACATTTTTAAATGGCAATAGAAAATTCTAAACTCCATGATTTATGGTTGGAAACTTGTGAATATCTTTCAAATGAATCACGTACATTTTTATAATGGATATAAAGATTTTTTTTAATCTACCGGAACTTTTTTTACATTGTATAAATATTTTCAAAAATGTCATAAAATTGAAACACTATATTTCTTTAAAATGTTGCGTACATTTTTAATGGACGAAACATGTTTTTTAACATTATACAAACATCTTATATATTTTTTTGAAAATGTAACAAACATATTTTTAAACTTGTGAACATGTTTTGAAATGTAACCTACATTTTTCTTGAATGTATGAAACAGTTTTTCGAATTATGCAAACATTTTTAGAACTTCTAAATTATACAAACATTTTTCTTAAATGTGACGTACATATTTTTAAGCATACAGCCTTTTTTCTAAATGTCACTAACATTTTTAGTACACATAATTAACATTTCTCTCTACATGTTTTAACATTTTCAAGTGCATTATTAACATTTTATACGTAATTTATGTAAAGCATTTTTGCAATACATATGTTTAGAATATTTAAAAATATTAAACAAAATTTAAAATCGAAAAAAAATTGAAAATGTGCATAAAACGGAAGGTAAAAAAACACGAACACACTGTGAGAATGCGCACGGTAAAGGCCGGTCCAACACGTGCTTCCAACGCTGGCCGATTGATGCACAACAAATCTCTACTCCTATAAAAACCACGGATGATGATGATGATGTGCGTGCCATCTTTCATTCACAACCATTCTATCTATTCTAACGCACACAAAGCAATCAATGGCACTTTTGCAAAAAGACACACCCACTATTCCCTCTCAGCCTAGCCCTTGCCCCACCTTATCCAACCACCTAAAATGGGGAAAATCTGCCGGGAGAACCTAAAGCCCGCCAGCCGGCAGTGTCAGAGCCGATATGGTGCGGTGGCCGCCGCCAGTGCCATCTGCCCTCAGATCCTC